CATTTAAGTCACGCATTTAGCCTTTAGTTTGTAGTTGACATCCTGAACATGTTTAACTAAATTTTCAGGGAGTTGAACTTCTTTTATCCTTCTGCAGTTAAATGTTGCAATCTGCCTCAAAAAGGTTGTAATAGACTAGGGATTAGCCGTAATGCTTGCAAAATACTATCTAAAAGTATTCTGTGAAATCCTAATCCATCTACAGTTTATGGAAAAACACTGTTTAAAGCGCTAAGATAAACTGAACAATGAGCCCATTGCAACAATTTAATGTGAATGATTAAACCTAGATTCTAAAATGGATTCAGTTTCAATTCTCGTTAATCAATGTATTTATTCATTTTATTCATATTGTTATTACTTTATGGTGTGGTTTAATTTCTCATCAACCTATTAAAGTGAAATATTTATCACCGACTAATTGTTTGAAACCCAAGAGGCATGGTTGAGGCACTATGTTGCAAACTATCTTACCGTCTTAACAACCAGTCATAAAACAGCAGGATAATTTTATTATGGCAAAACACTTTATCCCACACGTCTTACTTTTAATAAAGGTCTTAAAACATTAGATCTGCAAATAGGGATTTAGCTGGAATATCATTTAGTGAGACACTTGTACAGAACCTATCAGGGAATCATTCATCTTACCTAAAATGTAGGTTTTCCCTGTCAATATCTGCTGAAGTGGGGTGATATACTGTACCATGGGCAGCTCCAAAACATGTTATGGATATATATAACCATACCCATATGAACCCAGAAAAAATGCTTGATGCTTCCTTGCCTGGAATCAAGGTAAAACTCTTCAGTTTTGTTATTTTGAGAACCATTATATCAAGTTGGAGGTAGATTCTAGGTTAAATATCTGCATTTAGCGTGTTGGATGCGATAACATACAGTATGTGGAAGCAGGAGTAGGCACGTAACAATTGCCGTAAACAAAGTGGCTGTATTGGGTGGAGCTGCAGGCTCCTTGGAGCCAGAAGGCGTTCGGCGTGGGACTACCTTCACCGCAGTGAAGTCCAACTGACATACTATACAACAAGACGCCCATTTACTGAATGGGGTTTTTATTACACTTCAAAGCGTGTCTCCTCTGTCTTCCAAATTGCTTTGTGCAAATCTGTAGTTACTTGTTGCTCCATGCGTCCCTCTTCACCAATATTCTTTTTAACTGTATGACATAGCACTTTCTCACTTGAGTTATGCTCCTTTGTGCTTCATTTAAGGAATTGAGGTTTTGTGGATGCGCAAACTTTGAAAAAAGAAGGCGGCTTTCCTACATTGTCTTTAGTTGGTGAGTGGCTGATGACTGACTGCTGCAGCACACTCTCATAAAAACACCAGCAGCTTTTACATTAGAGTTGACAGTTTTTATTTTTATTTTACTTCTTTCTTCCTTTTCCCTTCATATACATTTTCCTGTGGCTCATTGGTTTCAGGTGATGTGAGTTGAACATAGTGAGAGTTTAATAGTTGCAAAGAACCTCTGTTTTTTTTTTTTGCCGTTGTTTTTTTTCAGTCTCACTACTAAGAAACTTGGTCACATGCTAGAACCCAGTCTTCATGTCAGAAATGACATGCAAAGTCTTTTGATGTGTTTTTCTCTGTTAGCAAGCTAATTTTCGGCCAGTTCTAAAAATGTATTGTAATGTATTGAACCGTGTTTCCTCATCTACTCCCTGTTGACCGTACTGTAGATGATTGTTCTCTGAGGCTGAACTCACATCACACATCCAAGTGGTCTACGAAAATCCAAATTATATCAGATTAATTTTTTCTCAACTAGGGGTGTGGGAAATAATCGTTTTGGCGATATATCGTGATATTCGGCTGCCCGATATAATATCGATCTTTCAGTTCTTAATATAGATTTTCAAAAAAAAAAAAAAAAAAGGTTACATAAAACATTGATGGGAAAAGGGGCTACCTCTGCACCACCACTCTGGCAGAAAGCGCTGTGGTGGAGCCTTTTAACTGTGTGTGCAGCACAAAATCTGTATTTGAGGCAGTCACAGTGGAAGAAAACCCCAAACAACATGGATAATAATGCCTAATCAATATTTTCTGATGAAAATATACAGCACTTGCTGTTTTATCTCATCATTTGATTTTGATAGCTGGGGAAAATATGGCAATATATGGTGATACTGCAATATCGTGATAATATCGTATTGTGACCCAAGTATCGCGACATGTATCGAATCGCAACACTCATGCCAATACTCACCTCTATTCTCAACATGTTATGATTATAACTCTGCTATTGCAGTTGTTTTTAATATTGAAAATATTTTGTGCTTTTCTTCTAATGTTAGCTTTTAAACACCTAAATAGGAACTGTCTGGTAAATAGCTTACTCTCAAAGAGATTGGCAGTAAAAAACCGACTTCAGCCATTGCAACTATGGAAATGTTACATGTTACTATTCAGGTTGCATGTCCCATATCCTTACTTCTAGTTACCGTAGCTCAATCTTAGTCTCACCCCACTATAAAACATTCTCTTGCTGCCTTTCGAATTATATTAGTGAAAAGTTACAAATTTAAGTCAAGCTTAAAGGTTTTACTTTGGAGCAGATGTTTCTTCCTTTAAAGTTCTGGTTTATGTTAAAGTGGCTTCCCTGCAGAGATTGACCCTGCTGTTGCAGCAGTTTCCAATTCATGGTATTTTTGAGCCTTTCTGTTCCTGGTATCTGTTGAACATTTAACACATTTCTTCTTGCTGGATGTTGACAGTTTGAGTTGGCTGACTGAACTGTCTAAACAGTTGGATATTTCTGCAGAACAGTGATATTATAATATACCAGGGCTGCACAATATGTCATGAATATCACCAGTTAAACAAATGTTTTGCATGTAATCATTGTTAGCATATTGTGGTATATCTCAAGTGCCATTAGCTTTACTTTTATTTCATATTAAGCTAGTTGGACAGAATCTCTAAGCTCCATTTCTGGGATGCTGAAACTGGACATGAATGACCATCCTCGAGGTGCTAAAGATCAGAGTGTAGAAAGCAGAGATTAGACAGACAGGAAAGAATGAATTGGGCATTTATGGAAAAGATACTGCCATTGCAATATATACCGATATTATCAACATCACAAAGTTTCCTGATGTCATGCAGCTTTAAAACACATCAAAAGTGGTTTTAAAATTCATAAAGCAGGCTAACCCAAAGCTAAGATTCCCAAAACCCTAGTCAGCACTTTAATGAAAATATATCGTTAGTGCAAAACATGCCCAACCATTTCTGCTGGAAGCTGGTTGGTGGCTGCAAACAGTAAGAGTTTGAAGTGCAACTTGCATGTGCTTTTTTAACCTTATACAGAACTATTCTAGTTACCTTAGATTTGGAAAGTTTACAAGTTGTTTAGTAGAGTATTGAACTCCGATCCTGAATCACGCATTTCTTGAACACCTAATTTGTTAACAATCTTATAAAAAAAATCAGTTTTAATGCTTGTCTTTAAGCTTTTTTTTTTTTTCCAACAATGATAGTTTTGTTGTTTTATTTTCAGAAGTGAAGATCTTCTAAAAAGCTAAATGGCACAGCTCTTTAAAACGGTGTAGGCTGCACCTGAACTCTGCCATTTTTCAAGCTGCAACAGTTTTTAAATGGAGTGCTTTTTGGTGGGTTCTCAACAAACCTGCTACTGTCGCTATTCCCGCTTAGATTTTCTGTTACGCTCCCAGGAGAGCTTGAGTGTTGGCTCCTAAGAGAATAGTGTAGCATGTTGGTGTGAGTTTACAAGGTTTCAGTGTGTCGTTATGTACCCCATCCTCTGCAGCTGTGAGGGTGTTACTGCGAGTCATTTAGAGATGCTTTTTTCATCTTTTTCAGTTGAGTGAAAAGAAAAAAAAATCCTTTGTCATGTGTTTTTTTTTATTTTTTTGTTTGGGAGGTCAGTGATTCCCTCTGCTCTCCTCCATTGTTTTTGGTGTTGGTGTCCCATTGTTTTGTCTTAGGTTTGGAAAGAAAAGAGAAATGTGCTAATGTGCAAACTTGGCTCAGAGGTTGCTCTCTGAGGCTTTCTGCTGAGCTGTCACTTCTCTGAGCTGAGCTAAGCCGTTGGACTGGCCCTCACAGAGGAGCAGGAAACTTTGTTGTTTCTCAGCACTTTTGAGTAGTCCCCCCCCACCCCCCCGCACCCCTTTTTTATCTACCAGTTTAAAAATAGTAATATTTATATGTTGTTAGAGATATAATAAAAAAAAATTAAACTCGGATGAGGAAGCTACAAAAAGCAACAATGTCATATACAGTGTTTGTCAAGAAGCATTTTATTTTGCTGTTTTGGTGCAGGTCTGAGTTTTGAGTGACATCTTGTCTTTAACTGTTCCTCTAGGGCTGTAAACCAATTACAGGGTTTCCGCGGGTAATTAAGGCCTTAATTGGCATTAAAATTCATTAAATGTGATTATTGTGGCATTTAAAATGCTTTATTTAAAAAAATATATGTAACTTTTTTTTTTTTTATCAGAATAAGAAACATTGCAATATATTTGCACGGATCTGCTTCAGGTTGATCGAAAAGCCGTATGTTCGGAAAATAAACTGGAGGTGGAGAAAAAGCTAAGAATGGGGAATTGCAAACTTCAACAAAAAGTGGCTGGAAAACGAGGAATGCGGGAAATGGCTGCAGCCTGTTGAAAAAGCAGAGTTACTCATTCCTGTATAAATCCTGAATTAAACTTTTTCCTCATTTTTTTATGTTATTGTCAGCCACTAACTTCAGTGAGTTTTATTAAGGTTTCACATAAAATTTAGCTAATTCAAAATTTTGCATTATTTTGTGTTTGTTGCATACCATCTAAAAAAACCCTGAAGGTTAAGTTGTGAACATGGCAAAATAGAAATAATAAACTATAAAGGGGTAGGAATACCCTTTACCAAACATGTGAAGGCCTTGTGCTCTTATCCTGTTTACTGCAGATGATATGGCTGTTTGTGATGAAAGAGAACCTCTTATCGTGTTTGTGCCTCCATCTCAGGTCCTGCTCAGGTTCCCATGATGTCTCCAAATGGTTCAGTGCCTCCAATCTATGTGCCTCCAGGATACGTCTCACAGGTATTTACTCCAAACTTATCTTTTTTTCCATCCTCTGACCAATTCTGATGTTTGCAGGTCATGCTGATGTTTTTCTTTCCTAGATTATTGAAGAGAACGGAGTGCGGAGAGTTCTGGTTTTACCTCAGCAACCAGATTTCCACCCCGGGGGTCATTCCCCACTCCACCATCCTCCACCGCCACCCCATCCACACCTGCCTGCCTTCATCCCGCATCCCGCCATGATGGGCCCACCGCCTCATCTCTACACAGGCATGCCAGGGGGTGTGGGGGACATGAGCTCCCAGTACATCCCCCAGTACCATCCGGCTCATATCTTCTCAGAACAAGGTGAGGAGGAGCGAGACCGACTCTACTATGTGTTGCTTTTTGTATGTGTCGTCTGCATTTAAAATCTACATCCTGGAAATCCTGTAATGACCCATGAGTTTGTTTTCTTTTCTAGATACCCACATCCAACATGGACGCCAGTCTTTTCTTCACCGAGACGACAGGGCGAGCAAAGCGCATGAGCGTCTCCAGAAAAAATTGAAGGAGCGCCAGGGAGGTGGAGGAGGTGGAGGAGGAGGGCAGGTGAAGGACAGTCCCCCGTCCTCACCACAAAAGTCCTGCAGCAGCCCCCCATCGGTGGACATTCATAACGGCATTGGAGGAACGGGGCTTGACGCAGAGCACAGGCACGGGGTAGCCTGCTCTGACAAGCATATTAACAAGGGAAAAAACGGAGAGTCCAGAGGTAATCTGGGGTCTGTTTAAGGGTCGGTTCTTGAATTAAACACATTTATTTTGTTTGTTTGCTGTTCCAACCCAGATAAGTAATTTTAAAGAAATGTTATTTTACTTAGGGTCATGCTTATAAAATCTGAAGCAATCAGGAAAAATAAGGAACCTGATTTAAGTTTAGATAAAAATGATTCAGGTTTCAAGTTTTAACGACTTTATTCCTTATTCCACTGTGTAAAAGTTTTACCATCCATATATAAAACCTATCAACAGTAAACATATCTGCTATTATTGTTTTGTCAATCTTTTCTTATACTCATGAAAAATAATTAAATGGAGAGGGAACTCTGAGAATTTGAGGTTGGAAAATATATCATTTTAACAAAGATAAAAATGTTTGAACCCTCTTTGGACTTCCTCCTTTAACTTAAATGTATTGGTCTTTTTATTTGTTTTTTTTTACATGACCAGATTATTATTATTATTTTTTTTTTGCAAGAATCAACATTTGAAATAAGCTCAAACTGTATTCACCTTTCTAATCCAGTGTTTTATATCTAACTCACATAATCTACAACAAGTGAGAATTACTCTGCAATATTTTTTTTTACATTATTTTCTTTTCTTTGCTTCATTTCATTTACTCTGTCTGGTCCTCACAATCTAATTTTATCTTTCCAGAACTTGACAAAGAGGCCCAGGCACTGCTTGCACTTTTGAGCAACATCAGTAAACCAGTGGTTAGTATCTACTGTTTTTTTATTACTATCTCTAAATAAATAATATTTTAATAACTGGAATTAACTTGGACTGAAAATATGTGTTTTTGTTGTTCTGTAATTTGGATGTTTGAAACTATAAACTTGTTCATTGACTGTCACCAAGCCTCGAAGTCGTTGAAGAAATTACAAAATACCAATTGTAGGAATAAGATAATTTTAGCACAAGTAGAAAGTGGATGTTTTAGTTTCCCATCTCTGTAAAACCAAACTGTCCGTCAAAGGCCAGTGAAATGAACTGTGGGAAGGAGAGGACTTAAGGTGAGGCCCCAGGGTTGAGGGTTGGAGTTACAGACTTGACCTAATTGAGTTCTTCCACATATGAATTCCCCCCCTGCAGTTGAGCTCAGGCTATTTTAAACCTCCAAACAGAATGAAAAATCACAGGGTTGCACAGCAGCACATCCCTGCAGCTAAAAAAAAATCTTTACACAGCTCTGCATTAGCTGCCTCCCTCCCTAACAAATTGGATTATTGTGGATATTTATTTATTTTGGGAGCAAATATATTGTAGATAATTACATCCTTTTTGTGGAAACAAAATCTTACAAATCCTATTTATAGTGTGTCACAAGCTATATAAAGAGCACAGCAAACGAGACAGTGGTACTTATCAGCCTATGTGCATGGTGCTGAGTATCACCCTAAACACCATACTCTTGGTTAAACAGGGTGTTGGCAGCATCATGCTGTGGAGATGCTTCTTTTTGAGCAAAGATGGCAATGATAATTGTAGTTTGTGATTAATCTAGTGAGCTAAATACAGGGCAGTGTTTGAAAACAACCTATTAAAAGCTGCAAAAGCCTGGTAATTGGAGCAGACATGCACTTTCTAGCAAACATTAAGCCTAAATACAAAGCCAGACCTACAATCAAACCATATTTATGTTTAAGAATGGCTACAACATCAACAAAAAATTATGCTTTTTTGTCATTGAATGAGCTTTAGTTTTTTACAATAAAATGGCAAAAATATAATTACTTGGATGTGCAAAAAAATCAATCTGAGACATGCCTTAAAAGACTGAGCGGTTACTGCTGTAAAGGGGAGATCTACAAAATGTTTTGCTACTGAAAACTTCAGTTACTTTATTGATTTAAATTTGTTAAAAATGGTTAATAACCGTTTTTAACCGTTTTGTTTTTCTATATTCTTTACAATGAAATGCGTTGGGTTATGTTCAAAATGGAATGATGTGAAAGCTAAGGAAATGTATGAATAAATACTCATTAAAACTTTGATATCTTAGGTGTCAGACATCCAGGCCAGAGCAGCAGTGGTCAGCTGGAGTGCACCCACCAGACCAGAGAGTGACAATAACACTGTGGAGGATGACACTAGCCTCCCAGAGGCCCTTAGCTATGAGGTTGCCTTCTCTATTAATGGCAAAGATGGGAAATATCAGAACATTAACAGGTGAGTACAAGGAACAGGAGCCCATGGGGCTTAAGATTTCCCCTAAAATCGCAAAAGCATAATATTTGTTTTTCTTTGAATCAGTGTGCAGGAATTAAGTGCAACTTTAGAAAATCTTCGACCAGCAACAGACTATCATGTCAGGTTAGTACAGCCCCTTGCTTGCTTTAATTTGTCATATCACAGTGGAACTGTGTACAAGCACTGTGGAATCCCTTAGGGTCCAGGCAGCGTGTAACTGTTTACTGGGAAGCCCTTCGGAGGCGGCCAGCTTTACCACACTATGCTGTGAGCCAGACCCTCCTAGTCCTCCCAAGAAGACCAGTGGGACCAAAAACACACTTGTACTCACATGGAAGGTAACATTTTCATTTTGTTTTGCATACAATAAATGAAATGACAAGTTTTCCTCTAAATCTTCAAAAAAAATTGTCGAGTTTTCTGCCTGATAAACGGTGTAATTCATTTCTGATTTCTCTATAGGCTCCATGTGACAACGGTTCCAAAATTAAAAATTATATTCTTCAGTGGGATGAGGTAAAACCTTGCTTCTTGTTGTCATATATTTTAAACTTGTATGCATGAAACTTTGATTTAAAGTTTATGTGAACTAAATGTTTTGTTTTCTAAAGGGGAAGGGAACAGGCTCCTTTGAACAGTGCTACTATGGACCTCAGAAGCAGTATCGAGTAACCAAGCTTACTCCAGCTTCACGATACTCTTTCCGCCTTGCTGCAAAAAATGACATGGGTGTGAGGTGAGCACATTGAAGGGCCTTTCAAAAGTCATCATTTTTTTCACATTTTGCATATTACATACTTGCACAAAATAGCACAGCACTGTGAAGGAGACAGAAAATGCTATGTGGCTTCCTCTTACAGATTTTATTTCTAGAATTGCTTTGTATTTAGCGCCATACATCTTCTAAGCATCCCACAGCATGATACCGCCACTGCAAAGCACACTGACCTCTGAGTCACTCAGAGAAAAGCTGCTCTTATGCTGAGTTGGAACTAACCACATGTGGACTCTATTTACTGAAAGCAGTTACTGGATTGTTAGCAGAGGAAATGGGCCTGACTAGAAATCAAAGCCACACTCCATAATTATGCACCTCTCTGTGTTGGTCCGTCACAAGTGATTGTGAGCTTTGACGGTGACTGTTGTGGTATCATGACTGGATGCGAGGACATCAAAGGAAGGATTATTCATTGTCGTGTTCATGCTGGAATATTTCCCACATGGTAGCCTCACTGTTGTCCATCTTTATGTAACCGTTTCCTCCTGTATAACTGTGGCCATCCGTGTGTCAATGTGCGTGTCTCACTCTGTCTCTTTGTCCGCTCCTCTCCTGTCGTATGTCTCTTTCTGTCCTCCCCAGCGAGTTCAGTGAAGTGGTGGACCTGTTCACCTCATGCAGTGTGCCATTGCCACCCTTCCCTCCAGAGCTGGAGATGGCGGGAGTGACCTTTCTTAGTATGAAGTGGCAGCGGCCCAGCAGCTCGCCTAAGGAGGATGACATCTACTATGTTCTTGAGATGGAGGAAGAAGGCTCGGTATATCTCTTGGTTTAATATCTCTTTTTTTTTCTTTATCTACTCTCTGTTAGGGGGTTACCTTCTTCAAAAATTCAGGGAATCTTGTATAAGGCGTCTATTGCTTCATTTCTTTTTAATTCAGCAAAAGCCAGATTTGAAAAGAATATGAATGTAATAGCAAAAATAATATGTTCACACCCTATTTTTTGTTCTAATGAAAAAAAGATTAAAATAAGTCGTTTCTAAATGTCTCCAGCCTTTAATTTGACCTTGAACCCGTTGAATTTAGTCGAAAGGCAAAAGGAAGTTTTTAGGAGTTTAATTAAGAATTAGAAACTAAATAGTGTGGTTATAAAATTTATGTGGGCAAACCCTTAGACGTTATTAAAGAACGCTTTGTCTTTGAGCAGGAGTCTATCAGAAGGCACACTTTGTCTTGGATGTATTACTTTTTACCTCTTAGCTCTAAATCTATCAGATTGTGATGATGACTCTGGTTCAAAGCTCACCTGGAAAAACAAAACAAGAGTTTCTGTAGAATCTAGTTCTGAGCTCCAGCTAGGCTTTTCTTCACCACCTTCTGAAGAGGCCAAATAGTTTTATATCCTGAAGTCACTCTTATTTCCCTTTATTTTTAGCCTTCCGTAAGAAGGTTGAAGGTTTTCTGTCAAAATGCAATGTATTCTTTTCATATTTCCCTCACTAAGTTTCCAGACCTTATTTACCCAATGTATTTGAGAGAGTTGAAATTTTTTTTGTGTGCAAAATTTGGAGGCATTCAATGTTTGGCTTATCTAAGAAAATACTTCTGTCTTAACACCATAACCTCTAGTTTTATTTTCTTTTTTGACAATTTTAGTTTTCCTTGCTTGTTTTCCTTATTTCCTTAATTTGATAACAGCCTTTACTCTCTATCCTCTATCTAGTGCTTGGGGATTATTTTGTTTTCTTATCCGGACTGATAACTCTAGACAGTCGGATGCCTCTAATGTTTTAAAAATGTCTGCAGACTATGGCTGCTGCTGTGAGATGCATATAAGATAAACATTATGAAGAGCTTAACTTAACCAGGAATCATAATCACGAATGCTTATTGTCATTATGAATCTCATGATGGAATGTGTAGAGACCTCCAGCTCAGAATGCAAACATAATACGCAGACATCAATTAAAACTGGCATCCTTATAGAATCCCTTAGAGAAAAGAAAACACCTTAAGAAGAAAAAATATATATATAAGAACAATAAAAGAACCACTTTTGGGAGAAAAATGAGAGCACTTTGTGTGCTGGATCCTGCTCTATTACTTGGTGATGTGGTGATTCATTCTGAGCGCTGCCATCCTCGACATATTAAAAAACATGCCATTGCATTATTTATGTTTTTCCCTAAAATATGTCTGTGTTTTGCAACTCAGTTTTACAGGTTGTAGCTTTATATTCTCCAATTATTTATCATGGTCTAAATCATAAAAATCTGGCATTTTACAACCTGCACATATTTGTTTACACACGTCTTTGTAGTTGATGTCACCTTAACCTGCCACCTGCAGGTTTAACTGTCAGAAACGCTACAAATCCCTTTACCTCTGTCGCCGTCCCCCCCCACAGACCTCTTATTTTTCTGCGCTTCACTGATTGTTGAGTAAGTCATTGCTCAGCTGGTGGTTTTGTTTCTCCCCCTTTCATCTCTGTCCCAGGGATATGGCTTCCAGCCAAGCTATGACGGTGACGAACTCTCCCACACCGTTAGGAATCTCCGCAGGAGCACCAAGTACAAGTTTCGGGTAAGCAAGCTCTGCGAGGTGTTAAGTCAGAATGGGTTATCTGCAGGTTTAATTTAGGAAGCAGAATGTGTATGTGTGAAAGGGGCAAGCTTTCAGGAGGGAGAGAGGGGCGGGGGGTTGGTGCTGAGCCCCACGTTTGCCATATGACTCATCCGTTTACAGGATTCTGCCAGCAGAGCAGCGGGCAGCTGAAAGCATCAACAGACTGGATCCAGTGTTGATCACATGCAGGGCCCCAGTGAGAAGCTAGTTGAGCAAAGCGTTTGACCAATATGTGGCCCTTTGGCTGGCAGTAATCTCACCAGTTTTAGAGGCAGTTTTTTCCTCCAATCTGCCTTAAAACCGCCATCCTTTTTATTTTGTTATTACTTCCTCTTCTTGTGTTTGCCATCCTTCCCTAATAATGGTTATTTTCCTGCCGCAGGAGACAACAGCAGTTGCACTTTTTTAATCATTTGCCTCTAGGACATGAAAAACATGAAGGTGTGGACTATAAAAATAAAAAGTAATGTTCATTCTGTTAGCCAGAGGAAGAGGAGCAACATGTTTGAGAAGAATAATGCTGATAGAAAAGTGTCTTATCAGCAAAACGGCGCAACACACCAACACGTGTCTGAATGATAGAAAACCCACTCTTTCTCTTTTCAATTATCCAAATACACAGTAAGGAGAAGCTGGCGGCTGTGCTGTTTGTCTTCATTCGGTATATTTGGTATTCAGCAGGCTCAACACAGCAAGACAAGAGATTTCTGTGTTATTGCTGAGGTTCTTCACTCAAATGCTACTGAAGCTGTTTTTGCTCCTAGAATTATTGTAACATTAGTGGTGTCTAAACAGTTCATTTTGAGGAGTGTCTGTAGATTTAGATGTTTGTGCCCAAAGTTATTTTGCTGTAACTGTGCTCAGTATAAATGTTGCTTGCCGTGTCTATTGACTAGCAGGTGGATCAATAAAGAAATTAAATAATTAATTTTTATGTATATCTAAAAGTGATTCCTTTATTTATACAGGCTCGTTACAAATAGTGATATTTCTGTCATTAATTCCTGTTCAGTGTTGATTAATACTTACGGTGATGAAAACCTCTCCGAAATATCTATATTTTAGTTGCAATTAGGCCTCGATGACATGACTTCAAAATGTGATCTTCAATTTTTTGCTTAGAGAATATGATTAATTATTTTTAATGTATTTATTTTATTCATTTTCTGTTCTTTTTTCATAAATTTCATAATTAAAAGAAATGAAAAACATTACTCTGAAAAACTGGCTTTTATAGTCATCCACTCTGGGAGGTGACCTTAGTTTAAAGAGCAACACAATTCAAGCTGTGAAACGTGCTTGTCGAACATTCATGTTTCACAACAAACGAAGAAAATAAAACGCACTCAGTGTTTGCTGCTAGTGCTTTTACACAGGGAGCTAGTTTCTGTTTCAGTCATGAGTAGACAGGTGCATTGGTGAAAAAAAAATCTATTTTTTTTATTTGGAGCTACAAACTAAACAAATGAAATGCACTTTTCACGGGGCGACCATCTCTCTCTCCTCACATTTCTTAGTCTATTAGTTCTTGCCTCTTCCAGTCTGTTCTCACCTTTTAATTAACTGTGACCAACACACACCTAAGTCTAAACATCATATGTTCACTAATAAACTATAATAAATTGGTAAAGTAGTTCATAACCTGCTCTGAAAATATGAACCTTAGCTCCCCAGTCATTTAGTTTTTTTTAAACCCTTATTGGCACAGTGGGCAGAGCTTTACGAGTTTTTCTTGTTTTAAATCATCCTGTCAGGATATCTCACCTACTCCCTCACTCATTCCACAGTGTCCCCCATGCTCTAGTCTTGACTTATATTGCTCTGTTTGTTTATAAAAGCTTCCTTTATCTTGCACTTCCTATCTTACGCTTAACAAAAGAATATCCCATGCCCATATTTAAGCAGTAAATGTTGGACATTTCCGAGCATAAACTAAACCTCTATCTCAGTAAGATCACCTCAGTCTAAACAAAATTAATCGATCCACACATCCCAATATATGACAGCACAGCTCCCTGTTGGTGAAGGGCTCAGGCTCTACTCTGTTTTTTATCTTTTTTAATTCACACTCGGCTCTTTTGCTCTGAATGTAGTGCCACCGGCTTTTGAGCATCATGCTCTCGACACGCGTCATTCATCAGACCCTACAATTCATCGTCCAGCCCTAAGCTGCAGGTTCTATTTTCAAGAGAACAGTGGCTCTTGCCTATTCTGCTAAAATTACTGATACCTTCTTTAAAGACCAGTAAAACTCTGCTTTACAGTAAAGTAAACCCCACTCAGAATCTTTGTGTTCTTGTCGCAAGAAAACTGGGACAACTAACCCAGAAATGCAGACAAGTTGGAGGCTAACATTAAAGCATTCTGGGCTTCCTTGAGCTCCACACCAAACCAAAGTATTCTGTCTATATACTATACAAGACTTGGATATGCTTTCAGTAGACTGATATTTCTTTATATAAAAGTGTCTTTGATTTTGTGTATAATTTTCAATTTTCTTAGAAACTAAACCTTTCATTCACTGTAAAATTTCTACTTGCACCATTAGACTATTTACACCTGCTTAGGCAACCTGTTGTTGTGATTATGGTATAAACTGACTGCTCAGTGTCTCTGTTTGTGAACGTTAACAAGGTGGCAGCATACAACTCGGAAGGGAAGAGTAACCCCAGTCAGGTTGTGGAATTTATCACAAAGCCAGACAGACCCAGCTGTCCCTGCAGGCCTGTCATCAGAGGAAGAGTCCAGCCCGACAGCTTCAAAATGGCCTGGGGTGAGATTTCCTCTTTACATTTTTCTTCCCAACTCCTCTCATGCTTTCTTATAGTTGACGACCTGGCAGGTCCAGCTTACATATTCGCTTTTCTTCTGAAGCTCTGCCCAACAATAGATGAGACTGATGACATCCGAGGTAGTCTGTTCAGTGGATGACATTCAGTTTTTTTTTTTTATCTTCTATTCAGGCAACAGCATGAATCCTTCATGCACGTCACAAGAAAAAACTCATCTCTCAGTGCTATGCTGAATCTTTCTATCTTTTTTAAAAATGAAAAATACATCTGTGGCTGTGAAAACGTTGAAAATGTCTTACTTTTAAAAAGAGACATTCAATTTTTATTGTATTTCAAAGCAAACTATAAAGTGGTAAGTAAATTACTATACTTATATTGTTGTTAGATATCATTTGCAAAGATATTTTTTAAAGAGTTAAAGAAACTTTGGTTCTGAAAATGGGACCTCTTGAAATTGGCATTGCATACAAAGAAATGAAAGTCTTTTTCACCATAGAAAATACAGTTTCAAAATCTTTCAAACTAAACATCATGTAGAAGGAGCACAGCAGACAGGTACATTATAAAGTAGAATTAAAACCACATCTTTGGTAACTATGCTGAGAAAAGCAGCCAAGATGCTTGTGTTAACTCTGGAGGAGCAGCAGAAATCCACAGCTCAGGGGGGAAGATTGTCATCAGGACAACTTTCTAGTCCTGCACTCTAAAAAATCTTGCATATGTGAATTATCAAAAGCAAAAAGTCCACTTTTCAGTTGTCAGATAAGACCGAAACAGTTTTATGAAGGACATGTGACAAAACGCTGTGTGTGACAGAGCATCAACATTTCACATGACCCACTTTACACCATTCCCTCTATTGAACTATTGACAGTACAGGACAAAATCATGTTGAAGGCTGAAGAAAAACTGGTGTAAACTTTAACTTACCTGCAGGTCAATGACACTAAACAGCTCCAATAAACTGGTTTGGGAAAAGGCACCTTAGTGTGTCAAAGTGGATCAGTATGCAGAGAACTGTTCAAGACTGTGTGGAGAACCTTGTAATGCATGAAAATGCACACAAATGTCCCTCTTCAGACATGAAAAACTGGTAGACATGCATCTGTATGGAAAGCGGGTCAGAGACTAAGGACACTCGACACAAATGACACATTCAAAATTTCTTATGAAAATAAAAAATGCTATGAAACTGTTTTCCTTCCTTTTTTTTTGTAACTGTGCACTTCATATGGCACATCAAATCCTAGTAGCAGTTGGTGAGAAATGTGAAATAGTGAGGTGACAGGTTATTTGAGTGAAAACTCTGAAGTGCATAACGGGAAATAAGTTGATCTTTAATAAAGCTGACTTTTTTTTTGTCTTTTTATTCAGAGCCCCCCAAAGATAATGGTGGAGCAGAGGTAACGAAGTATGTTGTGGAGCTATCTGAGGGCTTAAACGGTTAGTCACATTTCTCTGTGCAAAACAGCATTTTACTGCAGTTAAAGTTTATCACACTGTTTGGAGCTGACTGAATGCTTTTTTATTTTAGGTTTATTATGGGGGCAGGTTTACGCCGGGCCAGCTCTGGAACACGTGTGTGGCGGTTTGAAGCCCGGCTGCTGCTACCAGGCCCGGCTTTACTGCATAAGTGAAGGGGGGCAGAGCCCGGTGAGTCACTATTGTTGTTTGTGTTTGACCACGACACATTTGAAGAGGTTTGATCACTTCAAATTTAATTGGACAGGAAAGAGAAGATATATATATTTTCTTTTTATGTATATTTTGCTTTTGTTTTATATTATCATTGAAATATTAATTGGCTTGCTAATAGTGCTGTCATCCCGTTTTGTTTTAATATTCTAGCAAAAAGTTCCAGACGTGTTGTGTATGCTGTGAGTCAAACTCCTTGTGTTTATGCTAATCATTTAACCATCCCAGGATGTGACTAAGGAGTATTTTCATAATTAGCTCGGTTCATCTTCTCTTCATTAATTTTCTGTATCAGCTATTTGGCCATCTATGCATTTACTTTGGATCGGAGGCTGGTAGATTTGTGAGTCACCGTGACGAGCTTCCTTTTTTTTTTTTTCTTGGTGCAACTCAATGTGACACAGCACCTACACGTTTCGCTTTGTCACTAAAAAGTTGTCTATTTTTTCTTGGTGTGATAATCTGAACTTTATCTATTTAAAACAGCAGACTTCTGTTCATGGTTGTGTATGTCTGAATAATATACCCAGATTTGTCTCCTCTACTCTGCTGTACCCTGATAAGCTACTGAAAATGCCAGTTGTTTTCTGATGTCTTTTGTCAGGAAGAGTTAGAGGACGGTGTGAGATTGTCAGCTTTGTTATTTTCCCTTAGTTCCTAATTGGTGTGTTTTATTCCCTGGCAAGCTGTCGGAAACCCTGCAGGTCCAGACTCCCGCAGTGTCCCCAGGGCCCTGCCTACCCCCTCGGCTGGTGGGCAAACCCAAAGCAAGGGAGGTGCAACTGCGCTGGGGTGAGTCATTGCTTTCAAACTTAGCTTTGTGTGGGATACGTTTCAAGCGTCGGTTGAAGCAACCATTTGTCTGCTGAGCTGCCTCAAAGCACAGAACTTTAATTAAGCACTGTCTTTTACTTTGTCGTTCCTGTATGTTAACATTTTACTTTAATAACCTCATCCTGACCCACAGCAATTAATCAAGAGATGTTTGTGAAAACTGCTCAGGTCCCCCTCAGATAGACGGAGGCAGCCCAGTGTCCTGCTACAGTGTGGAAATCAGCGGACCCCACTCTGAGGAAAGCAGGGAGGTTTATCAAGGCGCGGAGCTGGACTGTTCTGTGGGAGGGTTATTACCTGGCAAGACCTACAGCTTCCGACTGAAAGCAGCAAACAAGGCTGGGGTGAGACAGATAGACCAATAATTCAGGGATTAACTACTCTACACCAAATAGCAGCTTATAAATCTTATCGGGTTTAATTTGTTCTTGTTGCTCTTTCGCAAAAACAGTTTGGACCGCTCTCTGAACGCTGCGAGGTCACCACTGGTCCTGGAGCCCCAGAGCCCTGCAAGGCGCCTTCCACCACATGCAAATCCCCCAGTTGTGTTGTTGTGTGCTGGGAAGTAAGTGCAGTGCTTTATGAAAGTATTGCTACCCCTTCAACTATTACATTTTGACAGAACAGCCACAGTATTTAAAACAGAAAAATAATGTGGAGAAAATAACATAAATGTGTCTTTGTTAGTTTTTCTACAATTTATCATTAAAAGGGTTGTGTACTTCGCACTTTGAAATTGTGTCTATTTTTAGTCTCAGTATAAATGTCATGTTTTTTTTTTTATGTTTGAAAGGGTTAAAGGTGCGCAGGGATGGACCTAGAACAGCTATGGACTTACCAAGATATTACTCTGCTCCTAAAACTGCCAAAGAAAGAGAACATTAATTGGAGAAGAGGGCAGTGGTTCCTTAAAACCATCAGAAATCCTTTTAACAGCTTTCCACAAAACATTTACATGGCAAACAGTTGGGAAAAAATGTCCCCTGGTCTGATGAGAATTTACTTTATTTTTTAGTTGTTAGGGCAAGAAAACTAATGCTGCATTTAACTCCATATACTTATTTACTGTGAAATATGGTGCTTATAGCGTCTTGCTTGGGGAAGGCTTTTCTTCAGCAGTAATGACCTAGTCAAACATTTATGGTAAGATAGAGGGAGCCAAATACAAGCCGAGCATCTTCCAGACACCAGTTTGAGTATTAAAACAACATATTCATACGTTAAAACGGTCAATTTAAAGAAGCACACACAAAGATAACCTGAAATTGTTGTCTACAGATGTTCTCGATCCATACTGAATAACTGAGAATGGGCATAAGTTTCCATTTCCAGATATGCAAAGCTGGTAGACATTCCTTAATAAACATTTCAGCTGTAGTGCCAGTGGTTTACAAAGCGCATCTTTTTATCAGTCTATTTTAAAAGGCACTCAAGTTGCTAAGCTAAATCTTGGAGACATTCATCATCCTGAGAACATAATAGACAAATGACTTACAGCTGTTCTGCGTAATCAGGGCTCATTGTCACTATTGTTTGACTTCCAGACCCCTCCTTGCAACGGAGCCCCAGTGACAGAGTATCGTCTGGAGTGGGGAGCAGCAGAAGGCAGCATGCAGGTGTGTTACAGCGGACCAGGACTCAGCCATGAAATGAAGGGGCTGCTGCCTGCTACCAACTATTTCTGCCGTGTGCAGGTGAGCTTCAATAAAACCTCTTAAGGTTGTTTTTTTTTGTGATAGCATGTATATTTCCCCCTTTTTGGTCCTATAATCAATAGACTTGATTAGAATTCCCTTTATAGTTAAGCGTTAAATATCTGCTGTTAACATGGAAAGCTTTTGATGCATCATTTCATGTAGGCTGATATGCATATAGTAATTAGTCTTTTTAATCAAAAAATGTATTGTTTTATAGTATTAATATTTTAGAGGCCATAGGACCCAGCTAACTAAATGAATTTCATGATCACAAAAATAATTTTTCAGGATTCTTCAGAATTATTTAAGGTTTCCAATTTCAAATAGTAATTAAGTAATACCTTCTCATCTGAAAAGTTCTCTAAAATGTGTGTTTTTTTTGTGGCTTTTCTTGGCTTTGCTATTGTTGTAAAAAACAAACAAAAAAAAACTGGCTTTTATGTTTACATTGAGCGCCACCTTGTGGTCGAACATAGGCTCTGACAGAGATACGATCTTCCCCCTTGCTGTGCAGGCTGTAAACGTGGCCGGAGTGGGTCCCTTCAGTGAGGCTGTGCTTTGCCAGACGCCCTGCTCAGTACCAGCAGCTGTTAGTAACATCTATGTGCTAAAGGAGTCTGAGCTGCAGAAGTTTGAGACCTCAGCAGAAGAGGAAGAGGAGGAAGCCGATTGTCGCCCACAGCGGGCCTTTTCCCCTTCAACCTGCCTGGGGATTTCCTGGGACCCTCCATGTGATCACGGCTCTCCAATCACTTCCTACCTGATCGACGTCGGAGAGAAACAACCTATTGTTGTCGGACCAGTAACCAAATACATCATCCAACATCTGCAGCCTGACACCAGCTACAGGTTGGTGCTGCTTCGTAAATGTTTCAGATTTCAAAGGGACTGAGTTCTTTAAGGCTGTTGATCATATACATCGCTCAATCAGAAGCACACAAAAAAAAATTCAAATTTAATAGCAGCGAATTGTACGGAGAAAACTAAGTGACAAGTGGAAGCAATATATACCATATAAATGGTTATGTTATTGTCAGTCCTCATTGAACAAGGACATAAAGCATTTTATATCATGTCAAATGAATGCTGACTGATGTAAAATGTCCATCACACAATATCACGTGCTTTATCCAACCTTTCAAAGGGCAGTACAGGATCTCAAGTTCTATAAATATTAAACTTTCAATAAGCCGATAAATCATATACAAGCTGTATGCCTATGAGCTATAGAAAGCTAGCCCTTTGCTGCCCTTGATGTTATCGGGTCTCCGTTTCCTTTCAGGATCCGAATCCAAGCTCAGAACAGCCTCGGCACTGGGCCCTTTAGTCACACCTTTAAGCTGAAGACGAAGCCTCTGCCGCCGCCGCCTCCCCGGCTGGAGTGCACCGCCTTCAGCCACCAAACCCTCAGGCTTAAGTGGGGTGAAGGCCCAGCTAAAGCCACCACCTCAGACGCCCCCCAGTATCATCTGCAAATGGGGGACAAGAATGGCAGGTCAGTGGATCAGTGGCAACTGTAAATGAGATTGTAAAGTATTGAAAGCAGCAGTATCTTGCAGAAATGTTCATGGATTTGTCACATTTTGTTAGATCAGGACTATGAACCGCCATATTTTATCAATGCTTTTTATTAATGTTATTCTCTTTTTAAAACAGCACAAGAGAAAAAAAACTTCATAGATTTAACAAAAAAACAAAACCCTTCTGACTTTGATGGGCTTTGCCAGTCACAGGCCTTTTCTATGACCCCAGGGGTAGATTTTCTGTGACCCCTAAATAAAAGCCTGTATAACCAAAGTTGCTTCAAGATAAACACGTCATCCCTTACAGTGAAACATGGCGGTAGCAGCATCATGCTGTGGGATGCATTCTTTTAGCAGAGACACGATAGCTTGTCAGAGCTGTCAGTAATAAATTGCAAAAAACACCAAAAACATGTTTATAGCAAATACATCATGCATCAAATAGGATGACCACTTTAACAATCTGGGATTTAGAAACTGTTTTTCGAAGATGCTCCCTATCCAATATGACTGAGCTTTACCTAATTTTATAATGAATTCATTTATTTTTTTCTCCCCTACGGCACTAGTGGCTCATTTTTCTGACAGTATGCCGACGGGTATGGGGGGGATGCAACCACAGGCCGGATTCGAACTCGGGTCGGCCGCGTTGAGGACTAAGGCCTCCGTACATGGGTCACGCCCATTTTTTGAATTTTTATTTAGGGCACTTGAGGTAAAAGGGGTTGAATGTAAATTCAGGCCAAGAATGAAAATAGTCATTTTAATCTTAAGTAAGTTCTTTTATTACATTAAAACACAATGTGTTTTTTTATGTTGCATGATTGAGAATGAAACGATGCTGCAGTCTGTGGGTTAAATATGGAAACATGGAAAAAGAAAGGAGGTTTGGGTCTTTGGGGAATGTAGTAATGAATAACCCCCCCCCCCAATCATTTTCTGTTTCCTCGTTAAATCCTTACCTTCCTGCATGTTTCTGTCATTTCAGATTTCTCTCTTTGTATAAAGGACCATGCCACACACACAAAGTCCAGAGGCTTAATGAGTCTACCTCTTACACGTTCCGCATCCAGGCCTTTAATGAGGCGGGCGAAGGGCCCTTCTCCACTGTTTACACATTCACCACCCCACGCTCTCCCCCACCTCCGGTTAAAGGTATGGCTCCCCTTTTTTCTTTTTCTTTTCTAGCCATTCAGATCCTCATCCTGATGACAGGTGGTGCGCTCAGCTTTTAACCTCATTTGACCAAAGCGCGGCTCTAACTCGAAGAAGGCCCCGAGATGTTGGCTGTCACCTGGAAAGCGGTTGTTGGGCTTTGTGGTCTGTTCGCTGTCAGGCCCTGTAAAGCCTCTTTTGATCCTACACAGTGGAGTCAATAATGAGGGTGTACGCTTTACAGTCAGTGCAGCAGCCCTTTTGTATCTTGCAGTCATGATACAGATAGGCTGTTACTCAACACTATTTGTGAAGTCAGCTTTTAGAGTGAAGAAGGCTTATTATTGGATTTATACTAACGTCATTCACTTAGGGCCAGTTTGCTATGAAATCTGGTTTCTCCAAAAGGTACTTAAGGCTGGTTTATACTCAGAAACCAGGTCGTCTGCGTGTGTCGCAGTGAACACAAATGTGCCCCCATCTCTTCCGCAGACACTCTGGGGCAATTCTCCAAAATTGTAGGTGACCGCAGATGGTGCCGCAGACGGGAGGCCTCTGATTGGTCACATCTAAATCCGCTCTACACTATCTGTATTTCCTGTTTGGTACCTTACCGGTTTGTTTTGTTTGTATGACCGCGCTAGAAGAGCGAAGTGCGTTAGAACGCTGGGACCAAACTTGCCCTCACTTCCTCACCGCCTCGGCCATATCTAGACCCACAGCTAGTTTGTGATTGTCCCTCTTGCGTTGTGGCGTGGATTAACAAAGCGCAGACCACGCTTCAAAATTGGGCATAAATCAAAAATATCTGCGACAAACTCTCTGCGACACACTGCTGCGGGGAGTATAACCAGCCCTTTGGGCTAACCAGTTCGGTTGCTTCAGATGTCACCAACCCTTTAATGGATCATTTTAACCATCAGGACCCTTAGTCAGATAACGCATGCATTGTTACTTATGATGGGGATTTTATTCCGACAAGGTGAAGACCAACCTGACAAACATAATCAAACCCCCCTTTGCTCCAATTAGATCTTTGTGGGCACTTTACAGAAAATGATCTTGTAAAGTGTTCTCTTTGGCTCTCGTAAAGAGCTGTTTTTTCTGCATATAGTTTGTTATGCAAATAGTTTGTTGTGTTGAATTGCTTAACAAAAAATGCAAACTAACATGTTTGATAGACTCCAGCCATGGAAGTTATGGATGTTAGGGGCTGTTACCGAGCCCATAACATCATCAGTGAACCCTCACACCCCCAGCATGGAATCTTCTCCCTGCTGCCCTCTGGGAAGAGGCTTCGCAGCATCCGCTGCAGGGCCAAAATATTCTGCAAATGCTTTTTCCTCACTATATTAGACTGCTGAACTGTTCGGGGGAAAAAAAAAAAAGTTGTCGAAGTCTATGATGGTTAGACGGATGAACCGTTTATGGTAATAATATCTGAGACTGCAAAGACGGCTTTCTTAAAACCAAAACATTACCAAACAACAGGGGAAGATTTCCTCTTTGGTTACAGGGTTTCATTGTCCAACTTTAAGGACTGTACTTACTATGTTACAATGGGAAACAGTCTCAGACCAAAAGGCATTGAACTATTGGGTTCCCTAGGGGTGGATTCTGGGCCCCCTCTTTTTTAATCTGTACATGCCCCCATTAGGGTCAATTAATTTCCACTATCAACGTATCTTATCACAATTATGCAGACGACACTCAGATCTATGTTTCACTGACAGCAGGTGAACATGGACCTGTAGATACTCTGTGCCATTCCGTCAAACAGATCAGTTTGTCGATACAAGACAACTTCCTTCAGTTAAATATGGGGAAAACTGAGATAATTGTCTTTGAACCACAAAAACCAAGAGAAGTTGTCATTGGTCATCTTAAGGCTCTTTCTTTAGAACTGAAATATAAAGTTAGAAATCTCGTCATAAGCATGGACTCAGATCTAAATTTCAACAGTCACATTAAGTCCATTACATCAGTGGCCTGTTACCATCTAAAAACATTACTGAAATAAAAATCATATTGTCTAAACCGGATTTGGAGAGAATAATCCATGCATTTGTCTCCAGCAGGTTAGACTATTGTAACGGCCTGTCCACTGGAATTTCCAAACGAGCTGTTAGAGAACTGCATGCAGTTTATCCAAAATGCTGTAGCTTGAGTCCTCACCAGAACTAGGAATACGACCATATTAGTCTACTGCTCCGGTCTCTGCACTGGCCAACCGTGTCTCAGAGAACATACTTTAAAACAGCTTTATTTGTGTTCGAATCTTCTCATGGTTTTTTAGCTCCTAGGTACATTTCTGACCTGTCAGAGCCGTATGAACCACCTTGAGCCTTTAAATCCTCAGGGAGGGGTATGATGTTGGTCCCTAGAGTCACCACTAAACATGGTGAGGCTGCGTTTCAGTTTCATGCTGCCAAGGTCTGGAACAGCCTCAGTGAAGATGTAAAACAAGCCTCAACCCTGACTTTGCTCAAGTAAAGATTTAAAACATGCATCTTTAGTGTTGCCTATGGGGTTTAATTGTATTTTAACCAGTTTTAACATATGTATTTTTATATATAATGATTTGCCTTTGCCTTGTGTGACTTAAGTGCTCACATGTGTAGATCATTGCACTTGCTGCAACTCACATTTGTCTTCTATGTGGCGGCAATCCTATTTTAACCATATAACTACCACCGAAAAGGATGAGTGTGAGGCTTTGGTAGATTTAGCTGTTTTAGTTCATATTTAGTTCTGTTTTAAGGCCAAGTTTCTTTTAGCACTTTTTTTTTCTTTTAAGCTTTTGTCCCAATTTCCTCAACACTATAATACACGGTAGATTCCATTACAGGTTTTATATTGGTGAACATTACACATCCAGCTCATAGATGGAGGGGTACGTTTTCTCATGAGAAGCTGCATTTAGTGTCCAAATATATATATATTTTTTATTAATATGTATAAAAAGCATCCTTGTTCATTCCTCACCAAAAATAGCATTTTTGATCTTGAATAAAGCTCTATTTGTACTGTATATGTAGTTTTGTTCAAGTTTGTTAGAGAAACACAAAGGCTTGTTGTTTTTTTTATTTAATTTCATTGTATGTGACAGATTCAGAAATAGTTTTTTCTTTTGTATAAGGTTAAAAGTTTCATCTATAAGACTTTTTTTCTATTTTACTGTCATAAAATCAGATTTTTTTATTCAGATCTTATTTGAGCAGAGCCTGTTAGACTGACTCATGTCCATCTTACCATCGTTCCCCTTTCAGCCCCTAAAGTGGAGCGTCTCGATGAAAACTCCTGTGACGTCTCTTGGGAGGCCCTACCACTCATGAAAGGGGACCCGGTTATCTACAGCTTGCAGAGCATGATGGGTAATTCAGAGTTCAAACAGGTAGGTATGCAGCAGTGAAAGTTAACTTCCTTTATTACCATCATCTGACACCTAATTCCTCACAGAGATCAGGATGCAGATGGGTTCAGGGCTGTGTTGTTGTCTCTGCGCTTCTGCAGCACTCTGTATTGTCACTGCTTGATTTAAATTGCCCATTATGCAAAGGTCATTGATCCATGAGGCTTCCCAGGTGTCTCGGTACTGCCAGCACATTTATCCCTCATGATGGCCTGCAGCCATGTTAATAAGGAGTGATGGCTCCTACAGGACTATGCTAATGTGGCGTCACATGTGCTGATTGAATCAGTAAACTGATATGAATTTTGAATTATGTCTCTCATGGGTTTAAACATCTGTTTTGTTTTGTTTTTAAAGGAGACATTATTCTTTTTGCAGGATTGAAGCTTGTAGGATGTTGCATAAACAACATATAAATCATGTTAATTCCTCGTTAGGTTTCAAACATCCTACATCATTCTTTCTAGGTAGAGAATTCTTGTTTTTGACGCCTTAAATCAAATCAAATTAATTTTTGTTGTTTTGTTATTGTTTTTCTTTCCAGTTTTATCAGTAGAGAGAAATGAAAGAAAACGTGCATTTTTGGGGGGGATTTCTGTTATAGAGCAGCGCACAGTAGCATATATCGTTGGAGTTTAGCTGATTTAATTTTCAAAATTCTTTCCTAAAAAATTAGAAAAAAGTGTGAAATGTATTCTGCTCTACTCTATGATGGTTCAGTTTATTAATGATATTTTAATGCTCTTTATTTTTATGATGGGGGATTTATGAAAGAACTTAACAGCATCAGCGTATGGCTTTGTTCATGTTTAGTTTTCGTATGTTCATATCTCCTTTCTTCTATTCCAAAGGCTTTTAAAGGTTCTGCCACATCCTTCCAAGTCCAGAACCTGCAGCCCAGCAGCGACTATCGTTTCCGTGTGTGCGCCATTAGACAGTGCCAGGACGCCACTGAGCTAAGCGGACCTTACAGCCCCACGGTGACCCTCTCCCCGCAGAGAAACGATGCGGTGTCCGGCAGCGGGGCCGCAGGCCCCGGCTCTAGGACCGGCACAGAGTCCATCCGAACCAGACAGAGTCTGACGGACGAGCAGTGCGCCTTCCTCCTCCTCATGGTTTTCGCCGTCATCGCCATCCTCATCGCTTTTGTCATTCAGTACTTTGTCATCAAATGAGGAGTCCGCGCTGCCTCGGCTGCAGGGTTATAGCTTTATCCCCCCACCCCCCCTCCTCCTCCTTCATCTCTGCTGTTTTGTGTTTTCTGTTTTGTACTTTAACTGTTTTCCGGTTCGGACAGCATAATCGCATTAGCTGGAATGGGGTGCAACAGCAGGATGTGAGTGTTATAAATCGAGGATGTAACATGTCATTTGGCACCTGTGATTCCTTCCGGACTCTCCTAACTCTCACCCGGCTCCAAAGTTGTGGTTTCCGTCAGCTCCGATTTACAGTCCATACAAGTCAGCCTCCTGTGCAGAAAGAACTCTGAAAGCATAGCAGTTCACTTTGAGAAATGGGGGTAGGTGATGCATTAAGTAAATGTATAGAAACTGTCCATATTTATTTTTCCTTTTCCGTGTCCACTATGAAACTGTTTTTGATAGGTGTGTTCCAAAAAATAGTTTGTAGGTTCTGTCTTTAGCCGACGTGCTTTTTGACTGTGGGACCTGAAGGGCCAGTGTTTGCACAGTGAGGTGTGTGTGCGTGTGTGTCCAGGTGTGTGTACTCTATGTAGTTTGTGCCACAGCTCAGACGGCTGGGAGGGCTTCACGCCCAGATGAAGGAAACTAACCCGTTCCATGCAGGAGTTACAGACAGAAAAGAAATCTCTCTTTCACATTATAGAGCGTTCATTTAGCACTTTTCAAGCTTTTTCAACTTCAGAATGTTCAAGGATGCAAAAACGACTGGAGAAATGTTCGTATATTTTTGTACAGCAACGACACGAGGATCAGCGGGCTTGTGGAGAAGAAAAGAAGAATCAAATTATAAAGTTAGAAAAGAAAAAAAACCAAACTAACAGTGAATCCTAATTATTTTTACTATCATAGTTATACTGTAGCTTGTTTTTACGATAATGCAGCTGCTTTACTCTGAAATATTGTCGTTCAGCACAAAAAAAAAAATGTATGCTTTCTCGTATCTTTTATTTTATTTCGTTTTCTACTCGGTAATTGATTTTTGCACCTTAGTGGATGAAAACCTTGACTGACTGCATTTGTTTTTGGTCTTGTGATGCATTTTATAGAGCACACTTTGAGATTGTGCAAGCCCTACTTGTGTTTTGGGTGTTTTAAAAGTCGTAGTATTGCATTACGTGTCACTGAAACAGCTCATCTATCAGCAGGAATAAAAGTTTGAGAGAAAAAAAAAAGGAAGAAAATAAATCTGTACACCGGTTGTTTCAGAGGCCTTAATCCGAGAGGGGGGGGGGGGGGGGGGGGGGGGGGGGGGGGGAACAGTATCTGATATTATAATTTTTTTTTCTTAAGATTTGACGTTTCTCTTTTTAGTGTTAGAAAACACTAAAATGTGTTTTATTTCCTTTTTATTTGCAGCATTCATTTGGTTGTTTAGTTAACGTACGTAATCCTGAGAAAAATGAAAAGTAGTTCTTTATATTCAGATTTCTTTTTGTTTCTTTTCTCAGTTCATACATGTGTGAAGTATATTTTTTTATAATATTGAAGTAATATATGTTAACACTCTCCGCAGAACATTATAACAATTCTGGGTCGTGACGGATACATAAATGTGTTATCATGCAAATCTAAAATGAGCCTTTTCTCTGTATGTGGAGTATTTGTAACAGACTGCTGACACCGACTCATCTTCAGCGATGATCTGGCTGGAAGGTCTGGTGTTCTGCAAATCTCTGCTGCTGCCATGGAGGTGGGGGTGGGAGGGGGCAAACAAAGAAACAAAACGCAGGTACCTTGCAAAACATCCTGAATAATTACATGATTTGGTCTTACAGACAACCTAATATCTCCTCTTTGTCACTGAAAGAATTCAAATTCCTATTTTTGATAGCGATCGCAAAGTGTGCCATTTTAACACCTCTTCACCTTTGGGTTTGCTACCTTTGGGCTGAAGAGATTTCAAAAAGAAAAAAAAAAAAGCTACAAAAATCAGTAAAATATGCACAAAAATAAAAGACCATTTTTATGTAATTTTAATGTTTGCAGTTACCTCATACACCGTACATTCCAAAAAGATTTGTTATACTATACATACTACCAGACATATCACTTTACAATGTTCGTTATGGGAAAAATGTATAGTCGTAGATATGTATCTAAAGTGTATCTGTATAGCCATGATATCTAAAAGAATCCATGCACAATAAAAGATTTATAATTCTTCATCATGGTTGAAGTTTGAACGTGTCCGTTTTTGGTTATTGGTTCGAATGTCTGAAACTTTTTTTTTTATGTATTTCATCATTATTTAAGATTGATAAAGACAAACACTGGTGTCAAAAGATAATTTTTTCTTTTGTTGTTGTTTAAAGCTACCTTACATATTTCTTAGTCTTAGTTCTAAATCTGCAATGCAAATCTGTTTCAAATGGTTTAAAAGGAAAAGAAGGAAAATTCATTTTCTAGTCACCTTTTTATAAAAGGAAATTTTCCACCCCTAACCCCTTATTAAATCTTGAAACGGTTTAGCAGCTTTGTTAAGTTCAGTTTTATTAACACAGATTTCAAGAATTGGTGAAATTGCGCCTTATTGAGAACATGAACTAGGCTAAACGGTGTTAAGTTTAGCCTAGTTCAAATATAAATTTTAGAGCAAAGGGCAAGGTGAGTTTATTTGTATAGCACAATTCAGTGGATGAGCAACTCAAAGTGCTTTGCATAAATTACATATAAAATAGAAGAAAAACAAACCCTGAGTAAAGGGAAATAAGGAACAAAAACAAGATGTGTTTGCATTTAGCAGCCGCTTTTATCCAAAGCGACTTACAAAGTAGACACAATGTAACAGTTATCAATATGATTGTAAGTTCTCTAGAGGAAAATCCCTAGTCAGAATCAGTAGTGACAGCAAAGAGGGAGAGGGGGAAGTAGAGAGGCATGGGTAAGAGATAGGATAGGAGATGCTCTTTGAAGAGGTGGGTCTGAAGATAGACAGGAATGCTGCTATTCTTGTAGCGCTTGGTAGGTCATTCAACCATCTTGGAACAACACATGGAGATAAAAGCAGGTAGTAAAATAAAACGGTTTAACTTCTGTCAAAGGCGGTTCTAAACATATTGGTTTTTACTTTGACATGAAAGAGCTCAGGCTTTCAGCACTTTTACAGTCTTCTGGAAGTTTGTTCTTGATACAAGGCGCATAGGAACTAAGTGCTGCTTCTCCATGTTTGGTTCTAGTTCTTGGTCTACGGATTAGGCTTGAACTAGAAGACCTGGGAGGTTGATGCACTAACAACAATTCTGTTATGTATTGAAGTGCTGATCCATTCAGTGATTTATAGACTAACAGAAGAATTTTTAGGTCTATTCTCTGAGCCACAGGAAGCCAGTGGAAGGACTTCTGGGGCCTGTTTCAGAAAGGAGGTTAAGTGAAATCTCTGAGTTTGTTAACCCTGAAATGAGGGAAACTCTGGGTTTTCTGTTTCAGAAAGGGAGGCAAGTTAAACCTGAGAAAGCAGAGTAAGTCAAGCCCGTTTCTGAAAGAGAGGTAACTTATACTCAGAGTCAGTTACCATGGCAATTTACTCTGTGAACCTAACCTGGTCGGGAGCAGGTTTTCTTCAGAAAATCCACAGTTTATTTTGGTCTCCTCCCCTTTTTTAAAGAGGAAGTGGTGTTTAAACACCTCATTGATTCTTTGGGGACATACAGTATTCATTGCACACATTTCAGTCACGTAGAGCGCATCAAATGGAATGAAATGGCATGTCCTTTTATGGATGATCCTGTTTGTAAAGCCAGGTAGCTACTCTACTCCCATGATGTGCTCAAGGCTTACCTGCTTGAAGTATGTTTTTATATTTCATTTTCAGCTGCTGCCATGTTCTTTTGATGCCTGCAGGATTGCACCTATCCATGAAAACTAAATTAGGTTTAATAAAATACTGTTCTTCCAGTTTCACCTCTGATATTATAACAGTTGGGTAAGTTACTCTAAAATAGTTCTTAATTACTAACTACAAATTTTATCTTCAAGTCTAATTAGATTAATGTAATAATTACTGTCTCTAGAAAGTATTGGTCTACTTACTAATTTGTTTTACTTACTTATTAATTACTTTCTAAATCCCAAATCAACCTCAACCACTTGAACAATGCAAGGAGAGAAAAGAAAATGCACTTCTAATGCTTTCAAATAAACAATATTCAATTGCATGAATTAATCTTAAATTGACCAAAGTGTGTAACTAGAGGGAGAAAGTTCAAATCAAAATATACCTTTTAAAAATTTGATATTAAATCCACTATTTTTTTATAGTCTTTAATTTAATTACAGTATTTATATGACTTAAGTAACTTAATTCATTACACCCAACACTGTAAAATGTAAACTTACGCATTGACTCGAGCAGCTATTTTCACCCAAGCTAACTCTCTCTCCTTCGCCGCTGCAGCCATGTTGCTTTTTTTTAAAAATACATGTTCAAATTCTGCATATGCTTGCATAAGCACATCCAGTTCTGCTGGTGAGAAATATGCACACCTTTTTTTGTCTGACGCTGTTGCCATGGTGACTCGTAATATCTGTGCTCGATTGATAATGGCTTTTTATAGTTGTGGTGCACGCGCTTAACTCAGAGTCAGTCAATTTAGAGTTGATTGAACTAACTCATTTCAGCTGTTCTGAAACCCAAAACTCAGAGATTCCAATCTCAGGATAAGTCAACTCAGAGTTCAAGTTTTAACTCAGAGTTGGTTGAACTTCCTAATTGAAACAGGCCCCAGAACCGGGCTGATGTGCTCTACTTTCTTAGTTCTAGTGTGAACACAGGCAGCAGCGTTTTGTATCAGCTGCAGCTGTCTGATGGGCTTTTTAGACAAACCTATAAAGAAACTGTTGCTGTAAGCTATTCTACTAAAGATAAATGTATGAATGAGCTTTTCAAGTATTTCAGCTACCTTTTATGTTATAATCATGCAGTAAAAGATAAGTATTTCTCCAACTGTTTGCCTTCCGCTGTCAATCCAGCAGCATCCTCTTATATTTCAGCAAAGTTTTTTCTTTTAATTTAACTATAAATAAAGTGAGTTGCAAAGGACTCCAGAGCTGTTATGTAAAAATCACTTCAGGTTCTGGTTACTTTTTATCTGGGTTAATAGAATAGCATAGAACATTATTGATCTCTGAATAGAGAAATTCACTTGTGACATCGGCTCTTATAAACAACAGGAGGTACAGAAAGGAGGAAAGTAGCCTATAGACAGTGTATCCAGATATATACAGTGGATGGTAAAACATAAAGGAGGGATTTAAGGTGTCCTATACATATATATTATCTTATATACAGTAAAGTGGTGTTAAATAGATAAATAGTATCAGTTAATGCATTGTTATAACACCAGGTTATGGTGCAGTGGCATTGTAAAGTTGCATTCTTAGTTTCTTCCTATTTTTGCTTTATCTGTTTTTAGTTTTTCAATTTTGTTGGTGTTTAATAGTAATCAGCCAGAATAGTCTGTGGTGTGTGATTTTGTTGATGCTCCAGTCTTTTAAAGCTCTTTGATATTTGATGTTTCAAATCAACAAATTTGCACTTCAAACCAGTTTGAAAGTAATCCTAAACTGCAGAGCCTGTTGAAAATGTAAATATCTCAGCTGCAGGGTAGACAGAGTTTATTTGAGGATGCATCAAAAAGTTTCTGCAAAAAGATGCAACATTTCCTGTTCGCAGCCAGAGCACATCCAAATGGTGTAATCGCAGCCTCCATGATGGATGATGGTGAGAGTGGGCTCACTCCTCATGCTAACTGCATTGTTCTCAGCATTGCCTCTTGGTGAAAGACGGATTGGAAGCTCCTGAAAGAAAACATGCAAGTTTTCCCTGTTGTTTTGCTTTGACATGAGCAAATGACGAGAGGGGGAGGGGGGCTGCAGCTGATCCTCTGAGGTCTGAGTGCTCAGTACGGTTACTTCAGTTCATACACACAATAAACCCTGATGTCAGGTGTCTTTTGCTGCAACGGTTCGTTTATTTCCAATGCGTGGAAAAGCTGTGACCCAACACAAGACAAAAGTCACGGCAAACATCCCGTCTTCAGTGACTGATGCTGTTTCTGCACATAAAAATGGAAAACCTGTTGATCAGGAACTAAAAATAGGATAGATTAAGATTAATCTCCAAATTAACGAAATAAAACATCTTAAACAATAAAAAACTGTGAAATGGTATTTATATATCATCTTAGAAACCCTGTGTTTTATTGAGCTTTTATGAGAACTAAACTGGTTGAT